TCCCATTTTTGTAACACATTCAGTTTAGGTAGGCAGTGTAGGAGGGTTGATTCATCAAGGTAAAGTTATCGGGCTGTTAGTGTGCTCTGGGGCTTTCATTTGGACTAACAGTATTAATCCATGATTCATCTCCAGTGGAAGCCCTTCTTGTTTGGTGCTCTGGTTTCTCTTCAGATTGTATGACTCTTTCACCTTGTTTGATGGCTTTGTGTCAGGAATGGGAAATAGAGTTCATACTGAATCATGGGTGCACTTGAAGATTGACAATTTAACTGTAAGAACAAAAAATACATTGGTAATGGCATGTTGTTCTTGGGGATTCACTGTCTCAGGGAATGCATGTATAGTCAAGCTAAATGTCTTTCATTAGAAGTCAGCCATGGCTTATAATAAATGTGTTATTTATTCTTTCACAGGGGGCAATATGTGATTTCTGTGAAGCTTGGGTTTGCCATGGCAGAAAATGTTTGAGCACCCATGCCTGCATCTGTCCTCTGGCTGATGCAGAATGCATTGAATGTGAGAGGGGTGTCTGGGATCATGGTGAGTTGTTTTCTGGTGAGAGGGAGCTAAACTAATGTAAATTATCTGACTTGTATTCTTGCAATTTCTCTATCTGTTCCTTTCTTAATTGTGTACCTGTATATGTGTGTGTATATATACGTGCGTACCCACACACTTTTCAGGATAATGTACTATGGTGAAATTGATTGCAGTCCATGAAACTTATGCAGTAACATTTTAAACCTTTCAGGTGCCACAAGAGTTTTTATTATGACTTTCTATTAATTTTGTTATATTTTTATGTATATTTAAAAGAAATGTACAAATGTATATTTATAGACATTGAATTATATTCAATTTTATACAGTTATCTGGTAAACACATTGTTGAACACAACGTGACTTGAGTTAACATACAGTACATGGTAAATAAAGTGTAATGTCATTTTTTGTATTTTCTTCATGGATAAGCTCAGATTTTCTTAGTTTTGAGTTTTCATAGTCTCTGGTAGGATACGCTGCAGAAGGGTTTTGACCACTTTGTATTCTTTTCACTGAATCTTCCAGGAGGCAGGATATTTAGCTGCTCTTTTTGCCATAATTTCCTTTGTGAAGATGATCAGTTTGAGCATCAAGCCAGCTGCCAAGTCCTAGAAGCTGAAACCTTTAAATGTAAGCTACTGCCCTAATGGCCTTGTTATCAAATTGAACAAGCTTTTAACTGTTTCTGTGATTTAGCTCAAATCCAAAAGGCAGTTCAGTAATGAATTTCAAGGTGATAATTTACAAAGGTAATTACTCAAAGCGGAGACAGGCTTTGTAGCTGTAGTTTATGGAATGAGCATGTAGCCTGCCCTCCCCCACTGTATGAGTCTACACACTACATTAAGACAGGTTTGTTTAATTGTGATTTGTGTAGTAAGCTATAATGGCTAGAGATATGCAACACCCAAAGGCAACAACTGCATAATGGCTCAATGTCCTGAAGTCCCAGAGCTGAAATCATTCTACCATAATGATTGAAACTCAGCAAGCATGATTCCCCACCTTTTTGTGGTAAGAAACTTATAAAAACAAATGCTAAAAAAAGCCTCCTAACCTTTCAGTACAAAAAAAAACCCCTCAGAACATTTTGTCCCCAGGGCCTTGCTCTCTGTGGTCCTTTGTTTCACCCAAAATATGAGTGCAGGCCTTGTCCACCCAAACTGTTAGCTTAGCACAGTGTGTTAATCAAGCCAGTATTTTACAGTATGAAGTAGAAGATCAGTGGCCCTGCTACTTTTATGACTGAAAGCAGTTTCTGATATAATGTCATGTTCTCTACATCAGTGTTCCTCAACCTAGCTGGCTGGGGAGTTCTGGGAGTTGAAGTCCACACATCTTCAAGCTGCCAAGGTTGAGGAACACT